AATTTGGCGATTAACGTTTTGTTTTTCTATCTGGGAGGGAATAGTGGGAAGGTTTTATCTTCCCCTACCTTCCTTAATCACATAGTGACATATATACAACGTTGGACATATTTATAAACTGACAGCCCCATGTAGTGTTGATTCCTAAGCCCCTCTATATTTCATCTTTTCCCTCCCTCCCTCTCTATTGACATAGAGATTGGGAGAGAACGTCCTGAGAGAGAAGGGAGGGAGGGAGAGAGAAAGACATAGAGAGGGGCTTAGGAATCAACACTGCTATTTACCCATAGCTGGAGGGAGAAGAAGAGGATTCACACCTTTATATATATATATATATATATATATATATATATATACACTACAGTTCAAACGCTCAAGACCCCCCTTGTATTTTTTTAAAATTGGCCCACAAAGTAGTTGTTTTGTATTTGAATAAGAGAAATTATTATATAGGGTTAAAAAAGTGAGACATGATTTTTTATTAGAAATTTTATTATGACAAAAAGAAAAAACATTTTATGATTTAATTTTGCTCTCGTAAAAATATCCTCCGCTAATCTTGATTATTTTAACACAAATTTTTGTCATTCTTTTCAAAAGGTTTTCAAATTATAAGTTTGATAATTGATTCCATTCTTTTTTCAGTGACTCTAAGAACTCATTTTCCTTTCTTTTCTTTTTTTTTTTCTGTTTCACCCCATGCTAATTCAAATGAATTGCTTCAAACTTGAACTGTAGTGTATATATATATATATATATATATATATATATATATATATATATATATATATATTATTTATATATCTATTTAAAAATTATAACATAAATATGTTATAAAATCACTACAAAAATAGCCATTTTGTTTCAACATCTCTGGTGTCATATTCGCTCTACTCTGTATTGATCATATACTTGGGTATATATATATATATATATATATATATATATATATATATATATATCCAAAAGGTCCAATAAAACTGATCAAACTGACCAGAGAATTCAGGATAAAATGTATCTATCCAGTTCTTATCTCAAATAACAACTTAAAAGAGACTGTTTGACCAACACAAGGAATGTTAAAAGATTCATGTGAAAAAGATAAAAAAAAAAAAAAAAATGAAAACTACAGACAAAAGTTCATTTTCTCCAACAAAAGACATTCATTTCTGTAGTTCACTGCCAACAGCAAGCAGAAATATTTATCCTCCCGATGATGGCCATTTCGGTCGAAACTAGTCGAGGAATCTAAATGGAATAATAATAAAAAAAAACGAAAGAATATTAATCTACAACCCAGTGTGTCTAATGATTTTAATTTTTAATTTTTAATTTTCTTATTGTTCAATATATATATATATATATATATATATATATATATATATATATATATATATATATATATATATTATAGAAAAAACAAAACCGACAAATGAAACTTAAAACTCTTATCCAGATAAAATCTCGAATAAAAACAAAATTACTGAAAAAAGACAAAAAGGCAAACCTATCTACTCAGTAAAGTAAAGTGCTCGAAGCCTAGATTGCCTCGATCCAGTAAAAACGCTTACCAACGTTAAATTCTATGAACGGATGGCTCTATGCATAACAAGAGTTTCACGCTCACGCGATCTTCAAACGATTTGAACGCAAATTAAAGAAAGGAGGGGCGAGCTTCATATAACACGTAACGATAAATCACGCTAGAGCATCACGGGAAAAATAAAACAAAATAATTTCATTTAAAAAACCGTGGATGATCACAGCTACACGGGTGGGGGTGGGGAGAGAAAATAGACAAAGAAAAAACATCTTTGGATTGGCTGATCTACTAATCGTCTATATATTAGAAATATTGGCATATTCTACAGATTTCAGTGAATTAGTTTCAAAGAGATCAATATGGAGGCGTCTTGTCTACAAAGGAATTGTCAGTTTCTTGGGCCGGACAACAAAATATTAGAAGCGACAACTGAAAAACGAGTAATATCTCTGACCAAGAGTTTACTTGGATTTCCATTTTTCCAGTATGTAGAGCATTCTCCTCTACAGTGCGGGTTTTGTTAACCCAATGAAGCGCTGTACTGAATACGGACAAGTGAGGTTGCCTGAAATTAGCAAGCAGCTAAAACTAACATGCTCTGTATGTGTGAATTTGATGGCAAATTACAAAAGTCATCTTTGTTCCCGCGGCCGAAACATTCAATCCACCCAGGGATAACATTGAACCTGTATGTCGCATTTGTTCATTCGTTGCCATGTCTCGGAAGTAAATTGAGAATTCATGAAAGGGCCAAACAAAGATTAATCTAAAGTGGTCATGCTGGAATTAAAGTAGACAGTCATCATCACCATGATTATATTTTAACTATTCAACGGCTGGAGGTCAGAATTGCTCAACATGTGCCAGGTCCTATCCGCTGACATATGCTACTGACATCCGGGCATTCACAGACACATGAGTCTGCTATTGGCGAGCATCTATTAAATACCGATGTCTGTAGGAACAATTATTCAGAAGGCTTCTTATCTATTCTCAGGACCCGGACAAAATACCATCTGAATATTCTAGAGGCTGTAGTGATTAACACACAGCGTCCGGCTCTGTACAGACAGAGAGAACTTAAACATAAATTGGAGTTAATTGGGAAATCATTGATTCATTAATTTAATTTCCGGCGATTTATTTACTTCTGACGAAGTGCTGGACAAAAGGTACCTTGGGTTTGTTTTAATCGGGTACATTAAGTGATTGATATTAAACAATGGTCCCTATTTTAAAACTAACGTTATATATATAACTCATCTTCCTAATAATTTCAATCACTTGTATATCCTTGTTTGAACCGGCTTTGGTGAATTTCTCGATGGAGCGATGATTGGGTTAGTAGTCGTGGCTCGTGAGGGTATATATATATATATATATATATATATATATATATATATATATATATATATAAATATATATATATAAACCCAAGTATATAATTGGTATATACGGAATGAATTCCAATAAGCAAAAATTACTATTCTTAAAAAGAGTGCTCAATAAAAGTAGAGCAGATATAATTATTTTCTATAAAAAAAAAAAAAATTATAACATAAATATGTTATAAAATCAAAAATAACTATTTTGTTTCAAAACCCCTCGGTGTCTTATCAAGTGATGATGTTGAAGATAAAATAAAATATATGGCTATTTTTGTAGTGATTTTTGGGACATATTTATGTTATAAATTTTTTTTTCCAAAAATTATATATATATTATATATATATATATATATATGTATATATATCAAAAAGACATTTTGTTTGTAATTTTGATCATAATCCTTTCATATTCTCAATATTTTTTTGTATATTACAAATGATATTATATTCTGTATATTATATATTCATGATTATGAAAGGATTATGATCAAAATAATTAGACATAATGTCTATCATTTATTCAACACACACACACACACACACACACACACCTATATATACATACATACATATATATATATATATGGTGCATCAGAAATATTTTCCAAAGTTTGGGAGTGGGTTCCTCACACCAAAACAAGGCTAAAAGGTTGAATGACTCGGCTACCTTCGATCTGGACACACAACTTAATGCGGGCTTAAAATGCAAAAATCCCATTTAACTGCTCACGATATGAATATCCTTCCATTACTAAACAGATCACTTCTCAGATAACTCACTACTACACACGTTAAATGTTGAAGAGCAACTAACCACAAATGTACACGAATGACAAATGAAACCTAATCTACACGGCAACATTGCGCCATCTTACTTTAAATTTCATAACTCAAAAACGAAGGATTTGCGCATATATGTTAATATGGACTTTTGTCTTTGTTTTGTTGTGAGGAACCCGCCCTCAAAGTCTGTAAAAGTATTTTTGATACACCTTATATATATTAAATATTTCTACAGCACCTAATGTAAAGAAAGACCGTAAACATCTCGTAGCTAAACAACCCACATTAAATAAAATATCATTCAACACAGGAGGATTTTTAAAGTGCATAGGATATAATTAATGTGTGCCCATATTTTATAATAATAATAATAATAATAATAATAATAATAATAAATTCATAATAATGATAAAAATAATTAATGTGTGCCCATATTTTATAATAATAAAAATAATAATAATAATAATAATAAAAATAAAAATTGAATTAATAAATAACAATCATTTTGAGCGGTCTCGTTCGCAATAATCGTTACACATGACGTCACGCTAAACAATCGTTCCGTCTACCCAACTTCACACACAAATACTTTTCAAAGGTGCTGCTGGGATGGTTCCCCTTCAGACCGATAACAGGATCTCTCCATCCTGACAAATCAACCGTGATGAGATTCGAACCCGGATCTCATGGTCAGAAAGCGAACGTTCTAACCACTCAGCCATATATCGATCGCCTGGACATGTAAAATCCTTGATACTCTTGTGGTATAAATATAAACTTGAATGACTTCTTTTATCTTGACTTCTCTTGCTCGGCATCTGTTTCATCTTTCTTGACAATATCCAGAAACGGGCAATTCTCTGTGTTCGCTTTAATGGGTAGCGTATATAAAATTGCACTTCCGAAGAGAAAGCTTTTGATTTGAAAGACGACCAGGGTGCGGGTGAGGGTGAGGCCGTGGCAAGAGCGTGAATATAAAATTAGTCATTTGTGGTCTGGTGGGTAAAGGCAACTGACTCAAGCATGGTACAAAGAGAAAGAGAGAGAGGGGGGTGAAATGTACATGAATAAATGGTTGGATAGAAAGAGAACGAGAAAGAGGACAAGAGAGAGTAATAGAGATAATGATAGATAGGTTGAAAGAAAGAAGAAAAGGAAAAATATAAAAAAATCGCAATTTAAAAGTAAAAAAAAAGAAAACAGGAAAAGAAGAGAGCGATAACGAGAAAAAAGAGAGGGGGAAGCAGATAGAGAGAAAGGAAGCGGGAAAGGGTGAAAAGAAGATGTTAAGAAAGAAAAAAGACCGGAGAAAAGCAAAAAGAAAGAAAGAAAGAAAGAAAGAAAGAAAGAAAGAAAGAAAAAGAGAGAAAAAGAGAGAAAAAATGAAAGAAAGAAAGAGAGAAAGAAAGAAGGTAGGAAAGAAAGAAATAAAGAAAGAAGGAAAAAGAAAGAAAGAAAGAAAGAAAGAAAGGAAAGAAAGAAAGAAAGGAAAGAAAGAATATGTAGAGATAAGGAAAGTTGTATTGAAAGCGAGAAAAATGAAAATTAATAAAGTAGGGAGGAGGAAAGAATAAAATAAAAACGAACAATGAAAGGAAAGTAGAGAGAGAGAGAGAGAGAGATGAAAGAAAGACGGATGAGGAATAGAGAAGGATAGAAAGAACAAAAGAAAGGAAGGAGGAAATGAAGGAAGGAAGGAAAATTAAAATGTAAACTAAACAGAAGGTTATGTGAAAGTAAGAAAAAACATTAGTACGCGGAAGAGAAAGAGACAAAAAAAGGAAAGAAAGAAGAGTAATAAAAATAACTAAGAATAAATAAAACAAAGAAAAAGTGACTGACTATAAAGAAATATTTTAAAGAATAAAAAGAAAAATATGAAGCATTGCAGAAAATAATAAAAATATATGCTACTTCTGCCCCGTAATACTTGTTATATTTGCATACGCCTCTCAAATATAATCGGACATACAAAGCATCTATTATTGATAATTCATTGATATTAATAATTATATTCGGTAATAAATGTATATAATGCATATATATTAACATTTTATAACATTAATACAAATTAAATTATATAAAAAATAGACTTTAACTGAAATAAAGTGAAAGTAAGACAAGAAATTTGAAAAGTAAAATCTAGAAGGTAGAAAAAAAAAAATTGAACGGTAGGCAAATACAAAATTAGGAATGGAACGATGGGAGAGATGAAAAAGGAAGCAATTATTACAAATAAAATCTTTTTAAAGAAAGAACGAAAAAACGAAACGAAAAAAGAAAGAAATAAGAAAAAGATAAAAGAAAGAAAGAAAAGGGAACGAGAGAAAAAATGAAAGAAAAAACAAGAAACGAAAGAAAGAAAACCGAAGAAAGAAGAAAAAAGGATAAAAGAAAGAAGAAAAAAGAAAAAAGAGCGAGAGAAAAAGAATGAAAGAATGAAACGAAGTAAAAAAAAAGAACGGAAGAAAGAAAGAAGAAAGAAAATAACGAAAGAAAAATAACGAAAGAAATACAAAAACTAACGAAAGAAAGTAAGACAAAATAAACGAACGAACGGAAGAAAGAAAAATGAGCTCAAATAAAAAACAAAGAATGAAAGAAAGAAAAAGGAACGAGAAAAAAGATTGAAAGAAAGAAAGAAGAGAAGAAAAGAAAAAACAGAAAGAAAAGCGAATGGGGCGAAAAATGAAAGAAAGAAAAAAGAACGAAAGAAAGAAAAAAGAGAAGAAAGAAGAAAAAAGAAAGAAATGAACGAAAGAAAAATGACGAAAAAGGTAAAAAAAGAATTCATATAAGAAAGTAAGAACGAACGAACGGAAGAAAGAAAAAAGAACACAAAGGAAAAAGAAGAAAGAAAAAGGAACGAGATAAAAAAGATCGAAAGAAAGGAAGAAGTAAGAAGAAAAAAAGAACGATAGAAAGAAAACGAAGAAAAAAGTGAAAAAATAAAAAAATTATGTAAGAAAAAAGAACGAATTAACGAAAGAAAGAAAAAAGAGCGCAAAGAAAGAAAGAAAGAAAGAAAGAAAGAAAGAAAGAAAGAAAGAAAAAGAAAAAAGAAAGAAAGAAAGAAAGAAAGAAAGAAAACCGAACGAGAGAAAAAAGAGCGCAAAGAAAGAAAGAAAGAAAGAAAGAAAGAAAGAATGAAAGAAAGAAAGAAAAAGAAAAAAAGAAAGAAAGAAAGAAAGAAAACCGAACGAGAGAAAAAAGAGCGCAAAGAAAGAAAGAAAGAAAGAAAGAAAGAAAGAAAGAATGAAAGAAAGAAAGAAAAAGAAAAAAAGAAAGAAAGAAAGAAAGAAAACCGAACGAGAGAAAAAAGAGCGAAAGAAAGAAAACAGAACGGAAGAAAACAGAACGGAAGAAAAAAACGAAAGAAAGAAAAAAAGAAGGAAAGAAATATCGGAAGAAAAAAGAAAAAAAAGAAATAAATAAAAAGGAACCAATGAATGAAAGTAAGAAAAAAGAACGAATGAAAGAAAGAAAGAAAAAAAAAAGAACGAGATCTTGAAGGATTCACAAATCTAGGCTTGAAAGAATAGACTTACTTATTCAGGAGACTGAAAGAGATAAAGAGAAAGAAACGGCAGGACCAGTAGAAGATAGACGAAACTAAATAAAATTAACGGGGGTCGTGGTGAAGTGCTGTTAGACTGTAGACAGTTTTTTGGAGGTTGAAAAGCGAATGTGAAGAAAAAGAACAAGACCCTGTTTGATGGACTGACGAAATAAGCCTGAAAAGTACACTTGACACCCACATTAAAAAAAAAAGAAAAAGAAAAGAAGCTAAAACGTGGACGTGTATGCGGGGAAGGCAGATAAGAAAAGTAAAGCAGCATGGAGTTTGCAACACGGTCCGCTGGTTTCGGACCAGGGAAGTCACGGTTAATAACCCACTCGAGATCCCGTGTTAAGTTGAAAGATTGTATTGAAAACCAAACATCGTACTTTCGTGGAAGTAACCAGTATAACAGCCTTAATGGTTGACATCATTGGTTCGTTCCTCGACAGGTGGAGTTCGAAGTCCGATATTCCTAACCTGGGGGTCCCAGGCAACGGCGTTTTATAATAATGATATCATAAAGAAAATGAGAATATTAGCCGTTTCGTTATGAGGAAACATAGGGCATTCAATGTAACTCGAGTTACGCTTTTCTTCACTTCCTGGCCATCCGGATAAGGTGAAATATAGTATCTGATCTCCTTATCTCTAATAGTAATGGTAATGTTAGCCGTTTCCTTATAAGGAAACATTCAGCATTCATTAACAGAGCAGCCAGTGCTTCTTTAATTAAGCATCTCTCCCCTCTCTAGATCTCGGGCTGTGATCAAAGAGTCTTATCTGATCCCCTTATCTCCAATAGTAATGGTAATATTAACCGTTTCCTTATAAGGAAACATTCGGCATTTATTGACCGAACAGCCCGTGCTTCTTCCATTAAGCTTTTCTTCCCTCCCTAGCCATCGGCCTGGGATCAAAGAGTCTTATCTGATCTCCTTATCTCTAATAGTAATAGTAATATTAACTGTTTCTTTATAAGGAAACATTCAGCATCTATTGACCGAGCATCCAGCGCTAATTCAGTTTAGCTTTTCTTCCTTCCCTAGCCATTGCTACTTTCTGTTGAAATTCATGAAATATTTTGATTAAAACCATTGTTCACGTAAATAGGTTTCTCAAGTCCATCAATTCGTTCCAGTATCAATGGGGGGGGGGTTCCTTGCTAATCTTTTGTTTGAAGTCGTGTGGAACGTCAACATCTTGACTATATCATTATTTTCTCTTCGAATTACATGTACTATTCATTTTAGTTGTTGCTGCTGTTGAAAGTTCTCAAGTGATGTGGTTTCTGTTATTTGGTACAGTTCTTTGTTTGCAATTCTGTAGCACTAGTCGACGAGGTTCGATGAAGTGTCGACTTTGTCAAGTCTCACACGCTTCACAGGCTCAAAACCATTTTTTACCATTGATCTGAGAAAATGGTTGTATACAGCTGACAGTTTGGATATTTCTAAATGATTTGATGCTAGACATGACATCCGCATGAAAGTTTCAATTTGACAAGACTACTTGAGAACATGACTCGAATGTTCAGGTTAATGTTTTGATTTTATAGCAATTTACGGTGAACGGCATAAATACTTCTAGCACAGCCTATTCTGCGTTAAATTTCCCCATCTACTATGCTAAATTTTTGATAACTGAGGTAGTTGGAGTCTGAAGTATTTATAGATGTTTTTTTCGAACTGAACTCTCGTCATCACGCATCCAAATATACATTTTGTGTTGTTGTGATTGATTTATTTGTTGATTTGTTTGTTTAACGGCATATCAACTTCTGATGGGTCATTTAATACCGAAATGTAATTTTCTTGGGAGCTTTGAAGTAATAAAAATATAAGTTATTCTGCTTTCACAATTGAATAGATGGTAGACGATACTCAGCTTTTGGGCATATACATGTTTGTGTGGACATAATTACTAGATGCAATGATATGTACGTTTTGATGCAGTTTTGTTGAAGCTATATTTTGTATTGCAGTTTGATTTCTTGAAGAACTTATAGGATATTATATGGATTAATGTCATGAAAGTTCATTTTAGTTGTTTGGTTGATTTTGATTGGTGGCATATCAACACCTCTATGGGTTATTTAATACTGAAATCTAAATATTTTTGTACATAATTTTATACTTTCAGAGTTATATATATATATATATATATATATATATATATATATATATATATATATTATATATAATGTAGATCAGAAAATGGTAATTTTACTATAAAAATGTATTTTTATATTTTAGTGTTGAATTGATTGTATTTTCCAATAAAATGATTTTTGGTCATTTTATTATAAAAATGTACTGTTGATTTTTCTTTCGAGGTTCACTATTTGCCTCTATTTGAGACCCTAACTGGTGCTACCACCCTAGGTCAGGGTGGACCTGGGAAGGACAATATTTAACACGTTTCTCAAAACATCCACTCCCCCGATCAGAGTTCATTGCTGCCAGATTGTGTTTATGTTCATACCGAGCGAGGACGATATGTTGTGATTGACTGCGGGTTAATGTTCACTCACAGACTAATTTAGTCCCTATATTCATCGTCTATCAAAACGACTATTCGTTGATTTTTTTTTTACTAAGCTAGAATAAAAATAAAACTTAGTAGAAAGTACATATTTACGGAAAAGAGAAATTAAAACAAAAGATTTTTCTCAAGTTGTTACCGGTTCCTTCTAAAATCTACTCCAACTCGATACTTCGAAAATCTCCACCTAAAACATTGAAACTTTATTTACTATTCAATTACGTTTTCTTTTCTTTCCCCAATTTTAGTAGATAAGTTCACATATTGTCTGCTTCAAAAACCTCGATCTTTTGAACAGGAAGTAGAGGTTTACTCCTTGCTTCCTTTTTAGGTTTGGGTTTCCGGTTCCTTCTAAAGTCCACTTCAACTCCATACTTTTAAAATCTCCGCTTAAACTTCTTTTATTATCATTTTTTTTTTTACTTTTACCTAAACAGGAGTAGATAGGTTTGCCTATCGCCCGGTTCCCACTCCTTTCTGGTCTTTTAAACGATAGTATATGTTTACCCCTTACCTGTTTACGATTGGATTTCTGGTTTTCTTCTAAAGCCTTTTCTTCCTCTTTCACTTTTATCACCTTGCTTGGAGTGGTGCCACTTAATCTGTAACCCTCAACCACGAGTGACTCCTAGGCCTTGTGCGGGGTGAACATCATTGTAAATTAAAAAAAAAAGAAAAGAAATGACTAAAATTTTATGATGGGTTTAGATTAAGTAGTTCCAAGAGTGAAAATGCGTATTTTACAAAGGCAATACTTACATTCATTTTGGTAGCGGCCTTGTGAAGTAGAAACCTCGCTTCTCTCGCGTTAAAAAGCGTATAGACCCGGTCGGAGATCTGCCGGAAATGTAATACTCCCAATGTCTGCAAATAACATTACTAGCTTCCGTACCGAGTGAGCAAGTCCGATTCATTTATGGTATTTTATTTGTTCAATCACAAAGAAATGTCAATAAACAAAGCTTGCTTTTAATGTTAGGCTGAATAATATCAGTAACGGGGTCTGCGATCAGAGCAATGAAACTTAGCACATACGCATGCGCCTCTAAATGGATCTGTGGTGACCTCATTATGTACTGGTCTCAACCTGAGAGATACCAAAGTATATTTTGAGTTCAGCGTCACACTAGAACATCAGAGAAGCCAGTTGCATCACAGGGTTGACCTGTAAGATGACTTCATAGCCACCAGGTGCAGATGACTGTACCCGACATGTAAACAGGCGGTTGACCCAGCTGCGCTTTATAAGAGATATAAGCACCTCACCCCGGAAGGAAAAGGTGGAAAGTCTCTTACATTCACTCGAGAAGAAGAATCCACCTCTATTTCGTCCACCGGGATAGATTGTTCTAATTTCACGTGCCATGCCTGTTCCAGATATCTAAGTATCAGTTATTTCCCTTTAACTCAAATCAAGGTTTTGTTCACCTTTGCTGTGGCCAGGTATTGAACTCACAACTCTTTGTATCAAGTCACCTGATTCAACAAACGCTTTTATCTACCGGGCCATGTGTCACTTACCTGAAGAAAACCGGAGCTTACAACGGCCGAAACGTTGTGAATATGGCAACAAACCGAACAACAGACCGAACAATTTAAATAATTACCTTATCTCAGAAATATAGACAGATACTATTGCGATATTAAAAAGTGATTGTTAATTATAACATCATAAAAGTTTATGCGTACATTCGATTACAATAGAACTCTCGTTTTGCGAATTTAATTCGTTCCTGAAGGCCGTTCGTGACCTGAAATGTTGGTAAATCGAAACTATTTTCACGATAGGGATCAATGTAAAATGGATTAATCCGTTTCTGCACCTCAGATGATTGTTTATTTAAACTTTTACAACAGAACTTAGTTCAGCAAGTTTATACAGAAAGACTAATGTGAACACAAAAAGATACACACAATGATAAACGGATAAAATATGAACGAAAACTTAATTTTACCTTGCCAGTACGAAGGAGAATTGATGGCGTAGTGGAAAGTGGCGAAGAAAGGGGAAGGGGAGATAATCCCCTTTCATGAAAAAAAAAACAGGAAACTGTTTCTTTACTTTCCTTACCTAAGACAGTGTTCGTCAAGGAAATTGTTTTTTGTTCGGAAGATTTGATCGTGAAAATTTCCACTATATAATATTTTCATTAGCAACCAATACGGAAAGAGGATATATATATATATATATATATATATATATATATATATATATATATATATATATATATATATGCTCATATATATGGAATAACGATATATAAGTTGTTATATATCAAGAACAATTTTGAAAGAAAAGATGCATGATAAATTAGAAAAATGGGATATTTAGTAACAAAGAAAAAGATGAATTTAGTTGTACTGAAAAAAGTTTTTTTTCTCGTCTCTCTCGTTCGTGCGTACGTCTAGACGTAACAACGTAAACAAACCTAGTTCGATGAAATCTTAACGGATGAAAATGCATCAAAAGAACTTTTTTCCAAAGAGTTTTGTCATATATATATATATATATATATATATATATATATATATATATATATATATATAGCTCCGGAAAATTTAATTCCGATCAAGCACTCTGGAGAGAAAGCGCTAATTTGTAAACAATGACTACTACTGTTAATGCTGCAATGCTCTTCCATGAATTGAGCTCTCTTGGTCATTGGCATGTTTATTCGAAAAATATGTACGTAATTTTTTTTTATTTCTGTTTTAATTTTGGCTGACACCGGTTTTACAAAATTTCTGGTCATCGTTATGTGGGGGTGAAATATTGTTGTTGTTAAAATAATTAAATGAATTGTGATTTAATTTTGAATTTGAATTTAGATTCAGACTAATAATAATAATAAATATTCCACCCCAACCAGAAAATTCTCGCGATAATCAGAAATTCTGTAAAATCAGTGTCAACCCAAAATAAAAATAAAATTACCAGAACTTGATAATTGCTTCGCCATGAAATTCAGAGTTCTGCAATCAATGAAAGGTATTATGTATATTCTTTAATATATTAAATAACTTTGTTATTTAAATTTGAGCACTGTTTTCTCTTACCCTAGAGCAGGGGTCGGCAACTCATTCGACCCCGCGGGCCGAATCGTGTTATAATGACGGGTCGCGGGCCGGACGAAGGCCATTAATGAAAGATTAAGGAAAATTACATATGCAGACCCCTGTCATCCTAAATATTTAAAACCATAATGAAAATAAACCTTGAGAAATCAGAAAAACAAAAGAAAATCTAAAATTAAAAAACACCTAACAAAAATTACTTTTCCTCAAGGAACGTCAAAATACTTCAAATTGAAAAAAATCAACCGAAGTGAAATGGATGAAATTATGACGTGTAGGTTTGAAACTATTATTGAAAATTGTCCCACAAACGAACCACACACACACACATCAAACAAAAACGAAGCACATATACCCATACACACCGAGTACAAATAGTTGCAAACATATACACTTACGTACGTACACATGCAGTATCATCCACACATTCACGAGGCATGTATGTATAATGCGCGTATGTTTAACTGTCTTTAGATTTCTGCTACCTCGCATGTCAGTCCCTCCCTGGCCTCTTTCACTTTATCGTTCCTTTCGCTTCTGTTATCTTTTAATGTAGCCAAGGGTCATAACAAATATGTATCCATTATTTGACATTAAACGTAGGCAACGCAACTTGGTAAGATAAGTCTCATGAAAGATAACTGGCAGATAGTCTAATTCGAAAGCCTCGTCTCTCATGTTAAAAACAGAGTCATTTATAATCAGGCTCGTGAGCCGGTCAAAATGTCCTATCCTTGACCTAGAGTATTTATATGTATTTGTATATGATTTATTTGTATACGCTCACTCGTACATCTAAGCTTGTGTGCATATACATATATGTGTGTGGACATGGTTACTAGAGGCTGTGATATGTGTGTTTTATGTTGTAGTTTTGTTGAAGTTATATTTTGGAATAGAGTTTGATTTCTTCAATAAATTGTAGGATATTATATGGATTAATGTCATGAAAGTGTTCTTTCATGTTGCTTGTTTAGTCGGATCGTTTTGTTTGGCATAGCAACGTCTATGCCGAAATCTAAATAATTCGTACGTAATTATATTCTTTCAAATGTTGATATTTTGTATATAATTTTATGCTTTCCGAGTTAAGGCATATTTTTAGATATATATTTTGTAGAGCATAAAATATATTGTTGGTAATTTTTCTATAAAAATATACTGTTGATTTTTGTTTGGAGGTTCACTATTTGCCCATAGCTGGGACCCAAATAGGTGCTACCACCCCGGCTCAACAGCAATTATAAGGTAGTTCCACACTCCTCAAAACCTGCAATCTCCCTATCTGATGCTTTGCTGCCGGATGTAGTTTATCGTCATACCCAGGACAAGATTTTTTTTAAAATTATATATATATATATTTATATATATATGTGTGTGTGTGTGTGTGTGTGTGTGTTGATAGTCATCATTTTGTTTGTGTTCTATGAAGAGTCGATTTTATCACGAACAGTTTCATTTTATTTTTAAATCTCAATTTAAGGAGGTTGTATACGAGGTCTGATCAAAAATTATCGGCACTTTTGCTATGATCACCGGGCCAAACTACGCGAAGTGAAGCTGTTTGGCACAGATTGACCTTTGACCTCTGTCGCCCTTAGCCACTAAGTTACAACGTTCTCTCTCGCTTTCGAAAAATCTGTTAATGCAATGTTCAATCGCAAAAGTCAAGAATTATTTTTGCAATCCAAAAAAATACGTTTCGGCTTTAAATAACCCACAAAGGGTTGATAAACCGTAAAATCAAAGCAAATTAATGAAAGCAAAATAAATCTATCTTGATTTTGTGATTTGCAGGAACCAGTTTCATCAACGACATGGTAACCAATTGGTCTACGCTTTAAATTAAATTGTCAAACAGTTTTCACTGTTAAGTGACTAGGACGGCGTTACTCGTTCCTTCAATACAAACTGCACTTTGATGGAAATGATAAAGTATTTCATATTGACTGTTGGCAAGGGAGGTAACCCCCCTGTTGTTGCGACAAACATGTAATCGTGCAGATATGTGGTTTGTTTCCGGGTTTGCGTACTTTGGCTGGCAGCAGACGACAGAATGGTTGTCGACATTCTTCTTCATTAAAAGGAAAACATTTGAAAGATTCTGGCCTGTTGTTCAGTAAGCAAGTGCAAATAAGTGCTGATGCTTTTACGATCTAACAGTTTGAGTTGTCATTCAAGTGTGAGAGACTTAAGGACAGTGAGATACACAGAAGCATACACAACAAATCTATTCACGATCACAAAAGAAAAGGAAACGGGAATAGAGAGAGAGAACGAGAGAAAGAGAAATGCGAATAGACTGTTATATATAGATATTAAAAGAGTGAGATAGATAGGGATACACTGATAGATAGATAGATAGATAGATAGATAGATAGATAGATAGATAGATAGATAGATAGATAGATAGAGTGAGTGAAAGAGACTGTGAGGAATATACTGAAACAGATAGATAAATATGAATATATATATATATATATATATATATATATATATATATATATATATATATATATATATATATATATATATATATATATATAGAGAGAGAGAGAGAGAGACTGAGACAGATAGATAGATAGATAGATAGATAGATTGAGATAGATTGAGATAGATAGATACTGAATGTCACTAGCAATGGTAATAGTAGCCATTTATATTCATTGACTGAGCCGAGCGGCATTCATTGACCGAGCAGCCAGTGCATAATTAAGCTATTCTTCAGTTTCTGGACATTGTACTGTCAACATCTTGATTATGTTATTATTTTCTCTTCGAATTACATGTGCCATTCCATTTTAGTTGTTGCCGCTGTTGAAAGTCCTTAATTGATGTGCTTTCAGTTATATGATACAGTTATTTAAAAACATGAATCAAATGTTTAGGTCAATGTTTTGTAGCAATTGGTGGTGTTGGACGAAACAATCTCTAGCGCAGCCTATTCTATGTTAAATTTCCCGATATTTCTACGATACTAAATTTGTTATAAGAGACCCATACACCAATACATAAAATTGAAGTATTTAGTATTTACCAATACATAGCATTGAAGTATTTAGTATTTACCAATTCAAGTATTTGAAGTATTTAGTATTTACCAATTCAAGTATTTGAAGTATTTAGTATTTACGAATTCCACATCTTGGTTGTTTATGATGGATTCGGGACACAGGGCATCATGGCTTCCATTCCAATTCCAAAAATTGTTAAGATGTATTTTGATGATGTTTGATTTTTTTCATGTATTCAGCATTAGAATATTTTTAAACTCATGGATGAAATGATAATGTCGTCAAGCAGAGGGTTAGAGGGATGGAGGAATTAGAAAAGAAAGAGGAGGAGGAATGAAAGAAAAGATAGTAAAGAATCAATGGAAAGGAAAGTGGGAAGATGGAAAGAGAATGGAGAATCACACAGGTGAAGAAAGACAGGGCAGAAGAGGGAAAAGAAGTAGCGTAATAACAGTGAAAGAAAGAAAGAAAGAAAGAAAGACAGAAAGAAAGAAAGAAAGAAAGAAAGAAAGAAAGAAAGAAAGAGAGTGAAGGAATGAAGGAAGGAAGGAAGTTATAATAGAAAAGAGAGAAAGAAAGAAGAGAGATAGACAAAATATAGAAAGAAAGAAGAGTAAGAAAGAGAAAGAAAGAAAAAAGAAAGGAAAAAGAAGGGAAAAGAAAAAGAAAGAAAGAAACTAAAAGGAGAAAGAAAAGAAAGAAGCGCAAAGAAAAAGAAACAGTTAAAGAAAGAAAAAATGAATGAAAGAAGAAAAATAAAAAGAAAGAAAACGAGAAAGAAAGAAGAATAAGGAAGAGAAAAAGAAAAAAGAAAGAAAGAAAAAGAAGGAAAAGAAAGCAAAAGAGAGAAAGAAAGAAAAGAAATGACAATGAAAAAAAGAAAAAAGAGAACGAAGGAAAAAAAGAAGCAACGAGAAAGAATGTAACAGCAAAAGGAAGAAAAAGTGAATGAAAGAAAGTAAGAAAATAGAGAAACAACAAATAGAAAGAAAGAAAGAAAGAAAGAACAAATAGAAAGAAAGAAAGAAAGAAAGAAAAAGGAATAGATTGCGAAGAAGAGATCCAATGTAAAAAATAAGAACCGTTCGGTTTTTCATATCTCGGCTTCGTAGACCGTCTTTGAATAGTTCAACAGTATCATAACAAAAACAATGTCGCCTTGCGTCATTGTAAGGGAGATAACTCAAGTGAAGCAAAATGTTACGGACAATAAACAGGTAAAAATCATTGTATTCATTAATAGGTAACATATTTATATATTATGCATAAAGAAGACTCGTTAGGTTCAAAATAAATTTTCAAATTTATCCTACGCAAAAAAAAAAAAAAAAAAAAATAAGGTGAAAATAATCAATATTTTAAAAGCGTCATAACGTTAAAACTTAAATTGTTTTATCGTTATATTTTTTATAATTTCGTCGCTGTAAAAAGAGTTTGTGCTCTACCCCCCACCCCAAATCTTAGGAAAATAAACACACCAAATTCACCAACGATCTTATTCCAAAGAGACATTTAAACAATGATAATATTAAAATTATCGTTCAACGATATATATATATATATATATATATATATATATATATATATATATATATATATATATATATATATATATATATATATATATATATATATATTAATAGATATAACCTTTAGGCTATAAGACATGTATATGCCTGGGTGGACGCATGTGTACACACCTATGTAAGAATATATATATGTCTATGTATAGGACTGCGTGTATATAATTGTAATATTGAAAATTATCATTCATCGTTATATTTATCGGTAAAGGCACATCAAACTAAATGACGGTTCCGTATAGGATACAGGTTCGAATCCTGTCGGAGGAGGAATATTTTCTGTGAAAATTTCTCGGACATTCAGGCCGGTAAATGTTGTTTAATACTGTTTATTATAAACAGAGCATTTACTTAAATATTTGTTTCTATAAAAAGAATGTATAAACATAAAAAATGTCTTTATATATATATATATATATATATATATATATGTGTGTGTGTGTGTGTGTGTGTGTGTGTGACAATATAGTCACTCTTTAGGCATTTTCGCTGTCGTGAATTCTTTGATCAGAGTTGATTTTTTATGTCAAAATTGCGGTCAGTCTCGTTACGATGGGCAACCAATGCATTTGATGTTATGGTTTTGTAAAATGTCTCTTGTGTTCATATAATCTTTTATTTAGAATCTTTGAGGTTTCTGCTATGTATTTTTTGTGACAATTATTACAGACGATCGAATACATTCCTCCTTCATGTTTTAGCGTATTGTTTTAGATGTAGTAGTAACTAATTTTATGTTGAGTTTAGATAAATTCTTTCCAATTGTACATGTGAGAGAGTTAGTTGGTAGGACAATATATATTTTTTGATTCATTGGGTTTCTCAGGAGGAGCCATTTTTCTATTTTGGAATATTTTATGAACCTTTTGTTTCGCATTGAATAAAGAATAATTTGGGTACTGAAGAAACTTTAAAATGTTTTCAAAGTATTTCTCAGTTTTATGTAAATATTGAGGGCTGCACATATTGACTTCTTTTAAGGTTATACCGTATTTATTTATTCTTTTTGTTATGATGAGAATATAAATGTATTAGAATCTTTTTGTTGATTTCCAGTGCACACCAAGTTTTAAACTGTTGTTAACACGGTGTAGCGTGATATCTAGGAAAGGTAAGGAATTGTATTCTTCCATTTCGTATGTAAATTCTATTGTATGTTCGACTTTGATTAGTTTATCTACAAGATCCGGTAAATCAGTATCACGGGGATATATTAATAAAGCATCATCAATATATCTGAAGTATATTGAATGCTTGGAAAAAACATTTTGTAAAAGCCCAGATTCGAGAAATTCTAAGAAGGTACATGCCATCACTCCACTAAATTTTTAAATTTTTGTTTGTAAAAATCATTACTTTTGTCATACCTTTCCCCCCAATATATATATATATATATATATATATATATATATATATATATGGATGTATGCGTGGGCACACCTATGTAAGAATATGTATATGTATGTGTATACTGTGTGCGCGTATGCATATACGTTTTTATGTGAGTGTATTTGTTTTATATTTATACAGGGATGGTTCCTTATTGTAAGTAATAGAGAGCAGTTTTGTTTTAGAAGCATTAAAATTAACCAGCCAATTCCTGCCCCAGTCTACAACCGATTGGAGACTAATGGCCAGGTTAGTTTTGTCAGCGATACCAGATTTGCTATTGAGGCAGGAGTAAATAGTAGTGTCGTCAGTATAGATGCCTACTTGGGAACTGATTACATCGGGAAGATCGTTAATGAAGATAAGGAACAGAATAACGCCCAGGGTAGAGCCTTGGGGAAGACCTGCGTTCGTGGGAAAGGAACTGGAGGAGAATCCGTTAAGGACGACCTTCATTACACGGTTTGACAGGAATGATCGTATTAAGTCAAATAATCGACCTGAAATTCCGATATATAAATCGGAGAGCCGAGTTCGAATTGTGTTCACGTGGGAAAACAGTACAAACATATACAATAACAATAAAAAATATGGTAAATTCTATGTAATTTCCTACAATTTTATTTATGCATTAGTGTGTGTGCTTTACATTACAATTGTGATAATGTTCATGTTATTAAAGGGAGAAAGTTACTCCCTAATATCACAAGTCCTATCACTTAGGAAACTTACACACGTGTTGTCATCACGTGACAGTCCTTGGGCAAAGAGATTAAATCTCACGTCTCTTGGCGGGATGTGTATACTTCCGGCAGGAACAGTCCTTGTTGCATGCTGGGAGTAATTTTATTATTTTTATTTTTTATTTTAAACGAGGTTTAAATTATATTTTATTGTATAATTTTCTTCATTATTATTATTTTATATTTTATTTTTATTTATAATAATAACAATGCTCCCACAATTTGAGGTAGGGGGGCATTTTTTCAGTGTTTGGGATAGGGAAGTTACAGGTTTCTGGTTCAGCCTTTTTAGTTGAATCACTGGACATTGGTCGTAGTTTATTATTTTCTGAATTTGGTATGTTATTTCAGTCCGAATCCCGTATAAGTTTATTTGAGACTATTGTGACTGATTCGGTTTGGAGATTATCGTCCCCCACCCACCAGATAGCGCGAGGTGACAAAGAGAAACGGAACTTTCTTTTCCATTCGGTAATCTAACCAGAGCTTCATCGGGATTCGCCTGAATCAGCTCAGCTTCTCATACAGTAGGTTCGTACATGTTCTTCTGAACGTAGTTTCTCATGAGCTCTTTCCTAGGAATCGTCAACCATGTAGTTGGTTAGCCAATTTGTATCGGTGACAAAATACAAATTAAACTAACCCTCCACTAGTTTTACTAAATCAAATGCAACAAAAAAGACAACAACAACAAAAGAAATAATCAAATAGGCAGATATTTGTTTGGACAGAAAATATTTTTATATAACAAGTACACACGATTTAATAAAGTTGTTTAAAACACTTCTTGGCTGTGTGATCAAGGGTAATATGAAAGATATGCTATTGATCTGGTAAAGAATTAAACAGTTTATGTTGATGGTGAAATTGAATGAAATAGATTGCTTGACTTACTGTAGAGTTGTTTCGCTTCGACTGATATAGTTACGATTTCCTTTATGTTGTTAAGATATTGAGTGAGTTGCTTTCTGAATCTCGTCTTAGTTGAATTGAGATGAGTTGACGTTGAAAAGAAATTGAATTCCACAAGCCGGGTTGATGTTAATAAAAATTAACTTTTAACAAGGAAGTTGGGTTTCATGGATTCGTGTGACGAGTTGATTATTTTAAGGACTCATTGACTAAATCGTGTCGGGGTTTCATATTTATGAATTTTCTTGATCACGTGGGAGGCTCGAGAGAATGTTTACCAATTTGGCGCGTTGAACTCTGAACAGGTCAACTGGAAGTCAACCGTACGAACGTAGGCAGAAACATGACATTATTATTTATGGACCAATCAGAAAGCGTTGTTTCGTCCTGAACTCTGGAGCCAATTTTAATGGGTTCAGCATAAACTGAGCATACTTAGCTGTGATCCTCTTTTAACAGGTTTAAAACAGAGAATGTAGAAATCTAATTCTACAACCACGATGGAACAGATCTTCTGGGAGTAGATTTTCTCGGATAAGAAAACATCTGCTCATGAGGAGTACAGTTCGTGGCTGTACAAATATGAAGTACGGAACGAATCAAGTGAACAGCGTTAGATAAAAGTTGATCGTCTGCCACAGAGTTCCGCCCAGTCTCTGCAAATGACCGTTTCTCCGTGGATTGTACAAAACATCTTTTTAACTCCACCGACATAAAACTAGGTCCTCTATCAGAGTGTATATAATTTACTTAAGCAAGTCAATGCAGTTTTAGGGAGCTTGTCCCTACAAGCAAAAGGAAAACGTCTATATTCAATGATAGTCAATAAATAGTTGTTTCCTCCTCGATTTGAAGGAAGAGGTCCCTATTCAAATCTTTTGAAGGATTGAGTGACTTTTATTAATTTACCTCCTGAATCACACATCTTGGATCTTCTACGGCACACGTATTATACTTTTCAGTCATTCTCTTAACTTTGTTAAGTAAGGCAAATTTCTCGACCTAATAAAGCGCATCATTCTTGATATTCCATAGATTATTATGTAATTATTTAAGTTCGATATTTACGACAGAAGCGCAATGTACTCTGGTTAATGACTCTAAGCATGCGTTTTTATTATGCCCGGTCTATATTTGATGCCGCCATATTTGTAAGTGGAAAGTTCAAGTCGCCAGCGATGAATTTTGTCGTTTTTAGTCTTCGAAGTTTTATACTTATCAAAAATTTAGTATAGAGCTTCGTGGTACGTGGCAAGAATAAAATATTTACCTTTCAGGTAATGACTCCATTCCCTGATTGCGTCAATGATCGCTTAGTTTCTTTCTTTAATGGTGAGTGGTTTCGTTCAAAGAGGTTTAGAATTCTGGATCAGAATGAAACAGGCTTACTGCCTCGATTTAGCGTCACAGCTAAACCCATATAGTTAGCATCAGTTTCATTTTCAAGGGTTTTTTCCTCGTCTAGAGTGTGAATTACAGCTCTTTCTAATTTCATTTTTAAATATTCAAAGGAATCTTTCATTTTAGCGAGTAAGGGAAATATAGCGTTGTTATTTACTCGTGAATTTTTAGTGAATAGTTTGGGATCCAACGACTGTAGTAAGCGAACATTCTGACGATTCTCTTCTGAGCTTTCATATTGCCTGGAGGAGGGCGTTCTCGGAGAGGTCTCACCCTTTCAGGGTCTGGCCTAACGGTTCCTTAACTTACTTCATAGCCCAGAAGTTTTATTTTTGTTACTCTGTAGACGCATTTAATCTCATTTAATGTGAGACCGTAATTTTCAATCAGTTCTTTCAATCTTGCAAAGTTAGTGTCATGTTCTCTTTCATTAATACCACAAATGGTCACGTGATCTATATACGCGAATGTTCCATTTAGGTTATCCTTTTCCATTATTTTATCCAAAATTCTTTGAAACCCAACCACTCCATTTGTGATCCAAAACGACATCCTTCAAAAGCCGTGTAAGGGCGGTCTGCTTTACGTTGGAAAAAATTGATGATACGCATTTTTTAGGTCTAGTTTAGAGTATGGACGATACTTTGCTATTTCCGAAACCATCCGTGTAATCTTAGGTAGAGGATAGGTATCTTTAAAATGTTTTATCCTTGGTGAGTGAGTCAGTAGTTCACTTTCTGAGCGACTGATCGGTTCAACTCTCTGTCTCCGGACGGAGAGGAACCCGAAGGAGGCTACGCCGACGGGCGGAGTCTCCTTCGGGGAGGTAAAACCGGCCCTGAACCCGTTTATACGGGTTCAAACGGGCATATTTTTGGGCTCGGGAATACCCACAATAAACAACCGACCTTGTGTCACATGTTGCCCCAGTGGGGGGGGGTAGACTCAATATCGTGAGTATTCTATGACTAACCGTTTTTTTTTCGTGTCTCATTCTCAGTTACCATACTTTCGCTCTCCACGGAGATCTGTTGGGTTCAATGTTATCTGAATCCAACAGGCTTTTTATTTCCTTCCTTATAACTGCCTCTTCTTCTCTAGAGTATCTTCGAGATTTCACAGATATAGGTCTACAGTCAGCCGATAGACTTTCAAACAGAAGAGGAGGTTTAATCCTTATGCGAGTTAATCCACACTGTTTTAAAGGTGGTCTGTCGCCCTCATATAAAATTTCTATTTTTTTCTGTAGGTCTTGAAAGTCCTTTCTGATGATCACATCAGTACATAAATTATCCATTAAGGATAAATTAAATTTCTTCGTAAGTTTCTGTATCCACCATAAGATTCGCCTTACATTTTCCTAAAGTTTTTAATAACAAGTCATCCGAAGCCATGCTGGCGGTAGAGTTAGTAGGTCTAAAGTCCAAATCCATAGACTAAGCTATCTTGGTATCGACAAACTATGACTACTTACTGAATCTATTAGCGCGGTAAGTTTTTTCTTTTTTTTTTACTTTTTTTTTGTTCACGAGGCATTTTGCCGTGACTTTCGAAATTCTCTGTAGCCCTGTAGTTACCGTGGCCATGACCGGGTAATGCAACAGAAAACTTAGCTTTCAAACGAAAGACTAATGAAATGACCTTCCTTCTTGAAATGGCAGTAATTCATTCTTCGAGCCGGACATTTACTTCTAGGATGCTTAGGTCTTCCACAGAAAAAGCACCTTTCTTTTAAAAGGGATTTGCTAGCAGCGGATATCCGGCCCGTTGATTTTCGTCTTGCTGAGAAATTATGGCGTTAATCTGGGGTTCCGATACTGACGCCGCTTGATACGAAGATGAGACGTTCACTTGCATTCTTGAAAATATGACGTCGTCCACAGACATGGGAACGATTACTCTGTTTGTACTCATTGACAGGGGAAGTAAGGAAGGGGAGTTAGGGGCAAAGGTCGTAGCGAAGAGCTTTGCTTTATCTGATGAGGGTCAGATGACTTTGTCTGTTCCATACCTTAAAAGATTTTTTCTGTATATAAAACTCAATCAAACAATTGGAAAAATATTCAGTGAAAACCCACTTCACGCTAGGCGTCAACAACCCCACCCCAACCTACGCACCCTCTTAACATCATCCGGCATTGATGATTCACCACCTCACCAAGGGAATATGACCGGCAATAAACCCCGATGCCATGTCTGTAGACATATCATCACTGATCGCAATTTCATGCCCCCACCTGGTACTCACGTAGGATTCAATCCACAGACTCTGAATTGTGACAGTTCAAATCTTGCTGTATATATTTGCTTTTCTGCCACAAATGCAAAAAAGGAAATTATGTTGGAGAAACTGAAACGGAACTCCGTCTTCGTTTCAATAACCATAATTCAGTCAAAAGTTTAATCATGAATATCAATTTTACTGACAATATTGGTATCATTTTATTGAATTTTTATTCAAATTTTGTTAACCGGCCTATTAAATCTCTCTCTCTCTCTCTATATATATATATATATATATATATATGTGTGTGTGTGTGTGTGAAAAGAAAGTCAAAAAGTAACAAACATATAAAGAGAGGTGGAGCTCGAACCTCGTCTCTGAAGTAGGTCAGGTGGAAATATCCGAATTGAGAACGAGGCCGTGCCGTGTTTCGTTAGATTCTTCTCGGCTCTTCCTCGCCTATTACAAGTTGTGGATTAACATTTTTTTTCTTTCTGTCGATGACTAATGGTGTATCGTTACGCAGTCAAGACAACTGTCAGCTTCTTTGATTCGATGATTTTGATGATCAACATGTCAAAATTTCCGCCATTTACATAATAGCTGCCAAAACTACCACGATTTATAGCAATAATTGTGACAATAGTAGACGCAACAGTACAGAAGTGAACAGTTTGACTAGTTCCCGTCAAAATAACCTAAAAAAATTATTTACGTATGGATCAGGATTTCTGTCTGTATAGACAGACTAACATCAGAGTATTTGAGCGCTCAGTTTAGGATCAGAATATGTGTGTATTCTGCTTACGATTAGATTTTCTATGCAGACTGCCGAGTATCTGCGCATCTTTGCACTTTGACTGGGATAGTAATATCTGTACGCTCTGTCTGAAATCAAACTATGCGATTTGCCTAGGATCCGAATATCTGGACACTCTGCCTAGGATCGGAGAATTCTGTGCATTCTGTCAGAGTGTGCGGTCTGCGTAGGATCAGAACATCTGTACACTCTCCCTTGGAGAGGAATAACCGAACACTGCCTAGGATCCGAGTATTTTGGTCATTCTGCTTAGAATCGCACTGTGCAGTAATCCCTGATCAGAGTTTCGTGTGAGATCTGCGTAGGATTAGAATATCTGAGCACTCTGCTTAGTATCAAAACATTCAGTGTCTTTTATCTACGATCAGACTATGCGGTTTGCCGAGGATCTACGCATCTATACACCTTGACTAGGATCAGAATATCTGTGCAATCTCACTAGGATCAAAGCATATTAGGCATTCTGCCTTGGATCAAACTATGCGGTCTGACCAGTGCCTGAGCATCTTATGGATACCTGCGTATCCAGCCTAAGATCAGATTCTGATGAGGATCAGTGTATTGTGTTACATTTTTTTTACATTGTGTTTAATTTTTTCCACTATCATTTATTTACACAGCATTGTTCTGATATATAGAAATTTAAATATCATATTTCTCCACACACACACACACACACACACACATAGAAATGGGAAAAAAATCTGCCTTGTCAGTCATGTATCGAAAGATACATGATCGCCTAAGCGTGTATCGCGCATGGCACATAACTGAATCGGAGAGCCGAGTTCGAATTCCAGTTGAATCCGTTACATTCACTTATGTGCTAATAACCTTGGGAAAGGTATTAATCTTCTTCATCCTGCCACCCCAGCTATGGGTAAAAAGTAATACAGACTGGGTTCTATAGCCTTGCATATGGCAACTGGTCTCGGAGAACTTAGGACAAATCTAAGGGTCATTTGGGGAGCTTGTGGAACTAGAACAGTCTACCCCAGTGGGCGAAATAAATGGTTCATATCGACATTCCAACCACCGGACGGAGCGTACAACGGCCGAAACGTTGTAATGAATATGGCAACAAAGATGAGGATAATAGTCTGAATAATGTAAATAGCGTACATAATACCTCATCTCAGAAATATAGAGAGGTAAAAATTTTATAAGAAATATTTACTGCTCTACTCCTGGTATTGAGCCCTCTTTTGAATTAATGCTGTGAACGTTTGAATTTATATTCTTTTCGTTCTTATTACATTTGTGTATATA